GATATGAAAAACATATTTCACGACTACTGCATATCACCGCGAATAATATCGCGTTTTTCACCGAGTATTACGCCACTTCACATAAAACGGGTTGTGAAACTTTATTAAATTAACTGCTTTTTTGAATTGTGTGTTTTTAAGGTCGCATTGGTGGCAGCGGAGCTTTTGGGAAGCATAGTTGAAATAGATGCGCCCAATGCATCGGCTGTTTGCGGTGAATCTGTTGATTTTTTCGAGGTAAGTATTATGGAATTTCCCCTAAAAACAGTGGGGAAAATTATATTTCACGACTACTGCATATCACCGCGAATATCGCGTTTTTCACAGAGAATTACGCCACTTCACGTAAAACGGGTGAACCAAACTGTTATGCGAAATAGCATTTTCAAATTAGCCTTCAATTTTTGGGAGTTCGGAAGTCAACTTTGAGTAATATCAACACGATAGCAATGTGAACCGATTGACACCAACGTTTTAGAAGCGTTCCGTAGTCTGTAGTCGTATTAGTTTTAAATTGAATAAAGCCATACCGGAAATCTAGATATGCATATCTGTTTGGTTCACACTGAAATCTAAATCACGATGAATATTTTAGGTCCTTTCGGAAGTTCTCAATAAGCTCGTGTCTATGCCCGGGGTGAAGTATAAAATATGCCGTAACGATTTGGCAACAATTTTGATGTTGCTGATGGAAAACGGTGTAAGTCTATCGGGGCTGTGTGGGAAAGGTGTGCATGTGTTGGTGACAATATGAAAATTTTTGGGGAGATTATTGTCGTTTTTTTTGTAAATTTTTACCCGAAATCTTGTGTAGTCTTCGATAATTGGTGAAAAAGTGGCGAATATATATTCCCAGTTCAACACTGCATTTTTTCAGCGTGGAAAGTTCTTCAAGAATTTGCTAAAATCGGGATTGTTCGCAATGATGTTATTCTGGGTTGTCAAAGACTGCGGTGACTACAACAGAGTTAAGGAGCTTGCTCAAGGAAGCGTGCGGAATATGAGGCCACTTACGGACCCATTGGTGAGGGGGATAATTTTGTGGCGCAGTGACGGAATCTCTCAGACCATATTCGACGTTAATGCATTGCGACCGGGGAGGATGGGCTCGGCTGAGGACGTCCAGTTGAGAATAATATTGTGGCGCGCGGTAGCGTTCGCTGTCAGCAACGATGAGGATTGTGCGAAAGAAGGGGAAAATTACGGTAGGGAGATTCATTGGAATGTGGAGAATTTAAAATGATTTCTTTATATGGGAGATACGAAGTGACGAAGTTTTCTTTATTTCATATCGTTGTCGGATGAATTGCATGGGCTTGTATGAAAATGTGTTGATGAGGGAGTGGGGGTGGACTTCGTATAGTGGTGATTCCCCCGTGATATGAATAACATTAGTGAATAACATATTTCACAATTCACTTCGCGGAAGACAATTGTATTTTGCGCTGCGGAAACATATACGTCTTATAATTTACATAGAGTATTACGCCACTTCACGTTAAACGGGTCGTGAAACTCCATCAAAATTTTCTCTGGTAGGATTTACAACAGCTTTGCTGGCCGCGTTGAAAGGCTCGGGAATATCCGGAGGCTCTACTACGTATGGTATAATGCTACAATCAGCAGCATTATCATCGATATCGATGGTGTTAGAAGGCGCTGTTGGTTTGAGGAAAGTCTTCGCTGAGGTAGGCTGCAGATTTAGTTTTGATTGAAAAATGTTTCCGAGTCATTTGTTGTGATAGGAAAATAAATTTCGCAATTCACTCCATAATGATTTTGAATTGAATTTAAACGGTAGTTGTTTTCGTTTCGCGTTTTTCGTGCCATTTCACGTGAAACGGGGGGAATTAAATCACTAGGGACGCGAAATTTTCGTACTTCATTAATATAATATTTCATCTAGTTTTTAATTGGTTAGTTCATCGTGTTAAAACTTCTACTGGTTGTTCATCCCGTACGCGTGCACGCTCGAAATTGCAATATGTAGCTGTCATCGTTGATAAAGAGTCATTATGAAAATTTTATGTTGAAGTAGAACATTTGTTGTTGGTGAGTGGAGATATGAGCGCACAGCGAAGATTCGTGTGGGTGTTGGAGGAGTTTTTGTCGAGTAAATTATTAACAATGCGAAATTATATGCATATGGTCGGGAAAAATTTTGGCAATCTTTGTAAGTGTTCGATAAACCGCTTTTGAGATTCAAACGATGTTGTGGGAATATACGAGTGCATGGTATTGGTGACAGTCTGGAAAATCTGAGGAAATTTTGAGGGTGGTTTTTGCACACTTCTACCCGAAACCGTTGGTAAACTTGTGAGCTCAGCTGAGGAAAACAAACATATATTACAACAGCACTTGATTTAACGACGCTACCGTTAGTTTATCTAATGTGTAAAACATGATCTTGGGAGCTCGGAGATTTGATAGCTCAGTCGAGGCGAGTATAAATAGCAATATTCGAGGAGTGTAATACTCCATGTGAAAAACGCGATATTCGCGATATGACGTGAATGAAAAACACTTGGCGAGTTACACCGGACGAATCACTTCATATCACGTTAAACACATCACGTGTTTTACGCGTTTATCACCGCTCACAGGCGTTTTTCGCGAAGTGAAATGTGAAATATATTATTTCACTAGTGTTTTTCATATCATCAGTGAAACTTTACTGTTCAGGCCGATGGGGTGAATATTGTCCTACGATATGTACAGCGTTTGGTGGGAGAACGCCACAGTAGAAGTGGCAGTGTTGATACTCAGCAGCATTACGCGAAGTTGTTTAGTAAATCGCTTAACACCTTGATGCTTGGTAAGCTGTTGAATGTGTGTGTTTTATTGGAGTTTCACCACCCTAGAGATACGGAAAACACTAGTGAGAAATATATTTCACGACCACTGCATATCACCGCGAATATCGCGTTTTTCGCAGAGTATCACGCCACTTCACGTAGAACGGGTTATGAAACTCCATTGTTGTGAACGATTAAATCGGAATTTTTCACCCCGATGAGGAAGTACTTTGCTTAATCTGATCGGGAGAATTTCTGTTCTTTTGGTGAAAATTTTGAACATTTTTCCCGGAAATTTTCCGCCTCGTTGCACTTGGTGATATTGATAATGAATTGTCGCATTCGCAGGGTTAGAGTTCTGTAAGGCGAGTGTGACTGAGGAGAATACCGAACTTAGTACCGCAGCTGTACCGATCCTTTGTGGAATCATCGCGATGGATGGTGACACGGAGATGAGACACGGTGAGAATCTTCTATTCTGAAGTATGTTGAATATTATCGTAGCTTCATGTGGGTTTTGAATTCTGAATGGTTCATTTTATGAATATTCTATCTCGTCGAGTTTTGAATATTTTGTTTTTTAACCTATTTTGAATCTTTTGTTTTGAACCTATTTTGAATCTTTTGTTTTGAACCTGTTTTGAATCTTTTGTTTTTAACCTATTTTGAATCTTTTGTTTTTAACCTATTTTGAATCTTTTGTTTTTAACCTATTTTGAATCTTTTGTTTTTAACATATTTTGAATCTTTTGTTTTTAACCTATTTTGAATTTTTTCCCATTGGTGCACGTATGTCTTAGTACTTCATTTCTCTGAATTACTGATTTTTGTTTTTCTCCAATGTGACGATTTCGGCTCGAAATTGTCATTGAAATATCAATTCACTTCAACATACGCTCATCTGTGTTCATTGGAGTTTCACAACCCGTTTTACGTGAAGTGGCGTAAAACTCGGTGAAAAACGCGATATTCGCGGTTATATACAGTAGTCGTGAAATTCGTTTTTCACTAGTGTTTTCGGAACTCCATTATCGGACATCATCTGTATCTTACCTTCTGGACAACATATGTATCAAATAGTCGTCATAGAAACAAAGATATTTTCTGTTGCCAATTTATGGCTAAATGATACCGCTCTTTTCTCATCCTCAGACGCCCTTCCCCCGTTGCACAGTGAGTCCCCACGGCAACTCTTCCCAGCTGCTGAACCCGTATCAGTCATAATCAGCAGCCCACCTGTTTTTAGCAGGTCTGAGGACGGTAACATTGCTGGAGTTATATCACAGGTGAAGTGGAGAGAAATAATTCGAAAATGTTCTTGTTGAACTAATTGAGTGCATCTTGAGTCTTTCCTTTTTTTCGTTTTTTTTGCTTTTTTCTTTTAATTTTTTTGTTTTTTTTTCGTTTTTTTTCGTTTTTTTTGTTTTTTTTCGCTTTTATCGTCTTTTTCCGATCACTATGTCTTTCCAAATTATGTTTTTCTGTTATTCTA